GAATAAAAACCACTCAGACTTCATCAGGGAATGGGGAGACATCTGAAGGTGCAAATGCTTCCTCTATTAAAACAGAAATCTTTTGCAAAATCTTTCAAAGAGAGAAAGTCAATATTCTTCAATATCTACAATCATGCATAAGATTCCTCCTCTTACATACAGTATTCTCAAATTTTGTTACTATTTTACACAGGTCTTTATCCTGAACTGTAATACCTAGGAATCCTTGTCATTCTCTTTTGTGGAATTTAACTTCATTTTCTACAGAATCGAGCCCCAGGTTTCTTTCCTATTTGTCTCAATACACTTTTTCTTCTTAAATGTGTGACTTTTTATGCCAAGTATATACTGATAATATAACACATTTGCCTTGTTCAAAATTTCCGAATTCTGTGACATTTATACCTTGGTTAAGTTCACCTTGTAGCTGGTGGCTAAAACTAAAATCCATTGGTCGCCTCTATTTCCAGCAAGCACTAACTCAATGATTGTATAGAAAAAAATGAAACCTTTTCTTAATCTTCATCTAATGTCCACTTTCTTGGAATGCTAAAACCCCCAAATATTTTAATCAATTCTCTTGGGTCTCAGCCAGTCTTTAAAAGTCTGATTACCTCATTTGGTCTAAGTTCTAATTGTTAGACACACCAGTGCCTCAGGGTCCGTAAAATATACTTGCATGCTGCACATTCATGGTAGGTTCTTACCTACTATCATACAGCTCATTATTGGACAGATCAAAGTTCACTGACATGAATAGAAACTTTTAATCTAGATTCTCCCTCTCAAACCTGCAAGTGGCTAAGTGCCCTCAGTCTTTGCGATCACAGCTGAGAATTCAGCATGCTTCCTGTGAATTGAAGCTGAGAAGGAACTGAATACAAGTGCAGGCATACAATGAAGCTTGAAGAGGTAGAAAATTGAAATAAAAAATAGAAATGAAAATGGAGGGAGTCCCACATATAGCTTCAGGAAAATGTTCCTATCTAGACAAGATAATGGACAGTCATAAGAAAACAACCCATTATAAAATGTGATGGGAAATTAACTTAGAAACTGCTGGATGCGTTCAAAACTACATATAGAAAGTATGCTAGTAACTACCCTAATTACAAAAAGTAAACTATTAAAAATAATTTCAAATTTAAATCTAATGGAAAGATTAATTTAATCCTCAGGCAGAAACCTATTAGTTTGACACTAATGCAGAGTAGGCAAGAAGGAACATGGTTTATTTTTAGTGACAAAGATTTTGAAAGTACACATTAAAAAAAAAATCAGTGTCATTTTCTTAAGTTTGACCAGCTAAAAAGTAGATGTTTGTTACAGAAAAACTGTGTGTCTTTTTCTGACCAATATGTCAAGAATTATTTGAATTCCATAACATCAATAACTCATTCTGCAAGTCTGACAGTGAAGGTCTAGCCTCAGGACATCTGCATGCAGAAATTCACTGATTACACAAAATAGAAAAAGTGCTACAAGAATAAGCACGCAAGAAAACCACTCTGTATACAACTGATCCTCTGAGAAGGAGAGGACAATGATGTGCCAAGAGAGACTGCCCTCAAATGCATCCTTTCTCAGGAATGAAATTCACCTGTTCTGAGATGTCAGGTAGCAACAAAACCTCCCTACCTGTTCTGAACAGCATGGCAAAAGAGCTAAAAAGATGAATGCTGGTTTGCCCTAGTTTTGTACAAGCCTTTTATCTTATGAATGAAGCTATGTCCCAGCCTGAAGAACAATGAAAGAATAATGGAAAAGGCAAAGGTGTGAAAGAGAGAAAAAAAAGGCAATTTGTTCCCAATAAGGGTAAATACAGTCATGGAGTGGGAACACTGGATCAGATGTAACCAGCAGAAAGAAAAATCATGGAAAAGAGCAAAATGGATGTGGTGGTCTTCAAAACAATACTGGTTTTGTTATTTTTTCTCTTCTTGGGAGGACATATCTGATAGATTTATGCTGGTTTGTGACCTGGAAGATTAAGATTCATTTTCTGTGTGTTACTCTGACTGCTTGCTTAATTCTTGGTAAGCCAGTTAGAGCTAGGCTTACAGGTACTCAAATATTACAAAAACCAGATATAGCTAGAAAGGATTTTTTTTTTGTTTTAAGGGTATTAGTCTATTTGGTTTAACAGTTTCAAAAGGAATTGAACAAAAATGTTTAGGTGCTTTTAAAATCCCACTTTACACTTTTGACTAGATCCTTTAGAAGTGTGTCAAAAAAACCTTTGCTAAATGAAGACATAATATCTCCTCATGTCAATAATCCACTGTGAGGACAGATCCATTACTACAGTAACAGCCCTTAACAAGGGATTTATAAAACAAGCAGATAGACTAGTTCAAGGGAGTTCAGCAAAGGGAAGGCTGAATGCTTCTCTTGCTAAGAGCAATTTCTAAAAATTGCAGAGGTCAAAATGCTTACCTGGTGCTAGGAGGGTATTTGTTGGCATGGTCTGTTACAGGGATTGTACAATTATTTGATTTTAAGAATGATCTATGGATATATTTCCTTTTATTCTGGAAAGATTACTCTGCTGCAGCAGTATTTTCCAGTTTCTAACAATAACTCCTGTTCTGCCCACAAACACCATTCTGTCACGTTTACAGCCTCGATCTACAACAGTATTTCAGCTGGGCTGCAAAGATCACAAATGGGGAACTGCCACTTCCACAGCTTTCTAGCTTTGGCTTAGATGTTCAGTGTCAGCTGTAAGAGCAAAAGTCAATACAATCCATCCTAGCTACGGATCTAGTACAAAGACCTATAAAAATCCGAATTATTGCATGCTTATATAAAGGTCAGCTTTTTAGCTTTTTTACATCACTGTTCCACTGATTTCAGCCAAGCTATTAATAATTCATAAAAGCTGAAGACCCTCATCTGGTTCCTGGCTTTTAAAATAAAGAGCTGAGACACCTTCTGAAACATCTTTCAGCAAAACTTAATCATCATTTTCGCAAAAGAGTGATAAATAATGTAGAACCATCTTAACTAGGGCACTTCCACTAGAAGAAAAAATTGGTCATAAAATAATAATCTGACCCAATTTTAATAAGTTTATACAAATGCATTATGCTGTGCACTAAACTTAAATACATAATTTAGATTACTTTGGATAACAATGACTCAGTAAGCATGAGATCATTCAGAAAGTAGCATGAAGTGAACATGATGGTCTTGCAGTATGTCTGGTTACTGCAGTAAACACCAGTTCTCACATCTTATTTAGTGTGAACAGGATTACAAATAACACTGCACCATGATTTACAGTTTTTCATAATGGGATATTTTGTTACCATCCCAGGTAAATAGGCCCAAGTTGGCCTGTTTCTTCTGAACAATTGCATTACTGCTGTAACCATATTAACTTTTCCTCACCTCTAGGTACCTCCCATAGAGGTCAATCATCATCACCAGTCCTATCTTGAGGACAGCTCTTCCAACACTGCATCTCTGTGTGTCATCTGTACAGATCCTGCCTCACCACCACCGTGCTTCAAAAGAACTCTTCAGGCTGACCTCTCTTTTTTCCATGTGCTCAACAGGTTTTTTTCGTTTGAAAAGTCTAACAGTCTGGAAATTCACCCAAAGTCAGTGTCGTTCCATCTGCACTATTTGCACACCTCTGAGCACTTACGTCTGCTCCAAGATCTTTGCAGTCTTTCTGCTACCTGGCTGCTTCACCCCAAACATATGCTACAGACAACCACACAGTGCCACTGGACAAAATCCAAAATATATCCTGCTGACTCTGAAGTCAGATTGCCAGGCACAGCAGAAGGCAAAATCTTTAGCATCTCTCTCTCCTTAGGCCTTGCTAACATCTTAGTTTCACAAAGCAAAATTGTCTCTATATTACTATTTGTCTGAAACGCTCCAAGTATCCCAACTGGACTGTTTTTTCTTGTCCAGCATGTCCCCTTTCTTCTCCAATGGAGGTGATCAGTGCTAGCATATAGACTAGACATTTGACAAATTAATTTCTTAAGTACTTTCCCAGCATTTGATCAGTGATTTGGTGAACATCTGGTGTGAAATGAGATGGAAGAGCTGCAAGTGACTGAGAAATATGGATAATGTACAGAAATACTGTCTGTACCCACTAGAAGCCTTCATCTTCTTGTCTGAAAAATCTTTATACCTTTCTCTAAGCAATAAAATGTAAAATAGTTGTACAAAAATTCAAATGTTTGAAAACCACACAAAATATAGAGGAAGACGGTATATTAGGAACTGCACAAACTACTGGCACCAAACTTTATTCTGATCTCTCTCAATATTACTGTCATTCTGTGTATGTACATGCAATTTGAAGAGCAGTGAGAACTGATTTTTGGTTAGATGTGTTGCAGCCTACACTATCCACTTTCCCAAAGTCCACACTTCCTAGCAATGAGCCTTGTTTGTATAAATGCTCCTGCATAGTGGCAAAGACTGTGATGGGTCACCTTCAGGCAACAACTGCAAATGAAGTATAACTATTTTCATGGCAATATTCTGCAGGAGTCTCTGACTCAAATTCTTGTACCTCTTTACACCAGCTAACACATTCAGCCAATCTATTATTCTTTTAAGTTGAGAGGAAATATAATGCATTTTCTTTTGTTTAAGGTTCCAAATAAATTACTGTGACATACTCTGCAAAAAATGAATGACAGACTACACAAGTGCCAGTGATTTCAAATTACTTTTAGGGCTAAAATGATCAGTGCTGAACTCCACAGGTTTTTGAGATTGGACAGAGCATGCACACCACTGTAACAGATGACTTAGAGCATTAGGTGTACTGCTGACTCTCACCCAAAGTCACTTCTTGCCGTTCAAAGTGCCACTACCTTAAAAAAAAATCAATACAAAATTAATTATAGGAGGGAACTTGCATGGACTGTCTCCAATGAACTCTGCTTCTTTCACATATAAGTATTTATTGAGCCATTATAGGTGAAAGATTAGGTGCTGGGCATATGATGGTAGATAATACTCACAGCAACCGCCTCCAGGATTTGTTTAACAGCATCAGCAGCATCTCGTTCACTGTAGTAACCCTTTTCCACAATCCTACAGAAAAAGCAACGAGACAAATTGTGTTCAGGATTACGTATTAAGGTAAAAGCTTCTTTTGAAAAAATGAGCTAAAACCCAACCAAATTTAAATATGACCAGGACTCTGGAGTGCCCACTAAAGAACAGAAAACAACATTTTTACAATTTTGGTTACCTTTGATTCCCAGTTAAATTAAAAACTGGATATAAAATATCAACTAGGTAGGAAGCTCATAACATATACACATTCAGTTGAAAGGTTTTAGAATTTTCTAAAATTCAGGGAATCCAAATTACTCTCAGATAAAACTAGGTATACTTTAGGAACTGCTTTTTCGCTTTTATATTTAACTTAAGCTTCCCCCTACTCTTATTTATTTAGTTAGTTAGTTATTAAACAAATGCACTGTGCTATGCACACACAGGTCTGAATTATTCAAGAGAAAGGGTTGGTGTAAACATTTACTAGCTTCAAATTATCCCTCAAGTATAACGGGCTGAACAATTGTCTTTTTTTCCCCCATCAGTAGAAAACTGGGGGCTCTGTAGCCAAAGAAACACAGTTTCATTAAAACTAAAACTACTTTTTGTTTTTCTTCTTAATGTAAATAGCCAGTATGCTATGTTTATTTTGTATAGATGACATGTAGTAGCTGGATTCTGTAAATGTGCTGACCATGCGCAGCTTATGGTGAGTTCAGCAATATTTATGAGTTCTGAAGATCCTGAAAATCCAGTTTGCTTTCTCCCTTTGCTTTGACATCAGTTCAATCTTGTAAAAAAAACAAAACCCAACTTTCTTCTTTAATAATATTATCTCCCTGGAACCTTACCCTTATAAAAACATTAAGAAAGAAAATACTTTTCTGTGTTAAGGTAATGCTCTGAAGTGGTGTATTTCAACATGTATGCTATCCTGCATAGAAATGGCAGCAAGGGTTAATCCAGATTTGTGGATTGGCCTCCCAAAGCCCAGCTGTGCTACTGCAATCCTTTTAGAAGAACACTAGCAGTGACACAGGTTCTGGGGGCTGACTCAGGATTTGTATCGCATGTTCTCCAAGAACTGCCATTACAGAATGAAACATTATATAAATGCATGGTTCAGTTAAACAGAGTCAGCAGAAGATACAGATTTGCACAATGACCTATAAGAAGTTAATAAACGAAGGACCTGTCATTGATATGTACTAATGCTCTGTTTAAGAAACCCAACAGTCTTTTTACTGTTGTATCTAACTACATACAGTGTTTGTGAACTACAATAATTCTCCCTCAGAGAGTTACCTTAAAGGTCAGATCTTTGACCTGAAGTTTTGATTTTTTACCATATTCATTTTTTCAAAGCCCAAGAAAACATAGACGGATGTTGTCTAGAAACAGAAGCTGTGGTGCCTGTTATATGTTTTATAAAATGATCTCCTGCAAGCACACAAGCAGGTTTTACAAAACAATGCCCTAAAATCCCTGTGAAGCAGGAGAGCAAGAAGCCTATAATGTCTGAAGTCAAAAGTCACTGGAAAGACCTTCTGGCTCAGGGTCCAGAAACAGACTCTGCTTGTGGCAAGAAGGGCATACTCCTTTCTCCCCACTTCCCCTGTTTTCCAGTATCTTTTTATCACTTCTCTGAAATACCAGACTTGTATTGAGCTACCTTCAATGTAGTTTCTTACAGCTTTACAAAAGCTGACAGAAAAGGTGTTGGCTAATGTACATATGAAAAGCATTACTACATACTCATCAGAAGATTAAATGCAATAAGAAATAATAAAAAGATGATAATCCACCAGAGACAGATGTAACAAGCACGGCACTGCAGAAAATAGTCTACACAGGGATACTCCTAACCAGCTGCAATTACTTTACCCTAACACTCGTTGTGCTCACAGATAACTAAGTCTATTCATGTGGCATCGGGAACAGCAAGCAATCCCTCTCTAGCAGGAGTTCTATTACACTGTGATTTCTTGGCTGCATAATTACTTGGCCTTATTTCTAGCAGGTGTTTTTTCTAGCAGCCCTTCAGCTACCATCCCATATGCACTGCTTTACCTCCTTTGCATTTTTGTATCTCCAGCCCTTCCCCTGCTTTGGTCATCTGTTTAAACCATCAGGGAGAGTTTTACTTGAACTTACCACCACAAGGGTAAAACAAAGTAAAGTTTACTCAATGAGACATTATGTCAGGCTTTTAGCCTCAAGTTTAGAAAAGAGGTCATGAAAAATCATAAATTACACAATAAAATGCTACATTATGCTTGAAAGTAAGATTCCTCCTTAGCTATTTCAGGCTGAATTATCCTCCACTAGTAGATTACACGTCAAGACCTGAGCCCCAGTGACCCTCTTGCTTGGGCCTTTGTTGCCCCAAATATACTGGTTTGGCTTCCTCCTCATGTGTAATTCAAATAAAGTATTTAGTGTCAGCCAGCAAGTTCCTGTCTTTAGCATCCATAAGCATTTCTGAGAATACAGACCTTGTCCCCATCCCACCTTCCCTCTTCCCTGCTTGTATTTTGGGTGCTAACTTGATCCTCCCACCATGGCACAAGAAGCATGTTAAAACACAGTCCTTGTTTTACAGGATTCCATGTATTAAAGACATTCACATAATCATTCTGTTAAGGTTATAATCTTTAGTAGGGCTTGGTAGATAGTAACAAAATTTCAAATTTGGTCACAAGGTAAACCAAGAAGTCTGCTGTGCTACTTTGACCCTCGGCTTTCAAACTGACATAGATTTTGGAGTATATTCCACAATGCACCGCAGAAAAAAGCAGACATTGCGGGGCTGCTGCTGGGGAACTGCTGCATAGGCTGAGCTGCCAGGAGCATGCCAGGTTTAATTCCACCATTGCTCAGGCATACATCACCTGGGAATGGGCCACACTGCCTATGCCTTGAGTCCAACAGCTGCAGGATTAGCTTGTGCACCTGACCGCAGAAACGAGCAAGGCAGAAGATCTTAAGGTTTCAATAGGATTTTAAATTCTCTGATTTTCCAACATATGTGACTAAAATCAGAGAAATACACAGCAATACAGTTACAATTCAATTTACATTTCTCCCTTCATCCAACAGATTTCTATTCTTACAGTATGGTAACTCAGTATTTGTTGAATCCTTTCTTTTTCAAACAGATAAACGTGAGGGGGAAAAAAAAAAAAGACAACCCTTAAATGCAGCCAACTTTTTTGTATTTTCCTCCACTCAACAAAATCAAAGAAGAGGTTCTTAGCTGCCTGTCAATGCCAGACCAATGCAGGAAAGAAAACCACCAATTACCTGACCCCTGGAAAAAAGAGAGATCAAAGAGATGTTCAAGACTGCCCTCCAGATCACAGGATGTAGAAGACCAGCCCATCCTGACTTAGAAAACTATATGTTGGCACGGATAGGATACTGCTCTCATTATTTACATTAAACAGATAACAGAAGAACAGAAGAAGCACATAGACACTGAAGATGAAGCCATTGTGAATTTACGCTTTACAATAAATAAATGTAACAAAGTGTGGGCCCATATTTCAGGAGAGCGATAAAAACCAACTGTAGAATTATTGTGCAATTCACATGACTCATCAGCTGATGTTACATGTGAATAACATCCACTGGCAAGCTAATTTCAGTTTATGTCACATGCAGTTAACTTTCTAGTTTCTCAGCAGTCTAGCATCCAGACTTATTGAGAATACAAACCTAATTATTAATTAATAATAATCTAGCAAGTTGAAAACCTAATCTTCTGTAACAGCAATAAATGAAAATAGGCATACTTCTTGCTAAAGATGAAAATTTATTTCTAAGGTCACTCTGCTTTAAAACTAAAACGTGACTATTAGCGGTAAGGAAGAGTACTGAAAGAAGATTATCCTGTGGTTTAGGTCCTGTAATAATGCTGAGGGATCATTTGCATATCTATTTTTTGCATCCTCCCTGCGACAGTTTACATAAGACAAATGGTAGGTGTGTCAGCTTGCTTTATTATAACAACACTCCTACCTGAGACCAATGAAGCTTCTTTACAAGGATTTTTCAGTTTCAGCCTGCCAATTAACAACGATTCATTGCCCTTTTTTCCGTAACGTGAAGGAAACCTGCAGAAATGTCTTATTTTGTTATTATGGAAGCAAAACCAATTATTTATACCTAGTTTACAGAATTATCTTTAAGAAAAACATGGATGAAAAAAGATTAAACCTTTGTTGAGAGGACAGAAAGACAGGAACAGTAACAATAAGGAACTAATTAAATACTCTCTTTGATATGCAAATGAAAAAACCAGGTAGGCCAAAAGAGTGCTGGAGAGAAAAACTAGGAGGAAGACAACAGGTAATCTGACGAAGGGATACAGAAATGCTTAAAGTCAAAGGAAAAAAAAAAAGCTTGGAAAAACAGTGAATTTAGTGTTGCAAACATCCAGGAAATTCAAGACAGCACTTCAAATCAAAGATGACATTCTAGAGCAAGCAAAAATGCAATGTTGATGAACGAAATTATTCATATTCTAATCACATTTGTGTAGAATCACTTTTTCATGCTTGCGTGTACATATTTATTGAAATATGCTGATTCAGTTGTTTATACTTGTACATGGCCAGACACCCATCCAACAGAGTATGTACTGATGGACACCAAGCTACAGGTCTCCTTAAACACCACCTAATTTAATCTTGTCTTTCCAAGCACATGTGAACATATTTGAGACAAATCCACCTCTTTCTACAAAGAGAAGCAGGGAAGTAATTCCCAAAGGCCCCTCCTCACTCCTTTGTCCCACTACTGCTGGAGATGGAGATGCCCCTTGGGAACAGCCGCGTTCCCCATGGTGCCGAGGTGCACCCCTGCCTGCTTGCGCCCCCCAACCCAGAGCCCACAGGTGCCCCACCAAAGCAATGATAATTGCCTCTCAGCTGCTGCTGAAGCTCAGAGGTGGAAAAGCCTTGTGCTGTCAGGTAACGGAGCTATAAAAAATTTAGTACTGAGCAAAACCACCCTTAGCATCACACTGCCCA